AGAGACATCTTAAAAGAAAGTAATATTACAAGTTTGATTTGTGAAATGTTTCACATGTGAAAAATCCAAATGGAAATTCCGTTTTTAGTATGTCAGTAAATGAGAGAGGGAAAAGTAATGAAGAGGAAAGCTTTGTAATTTAGTAATTTTAATAAAAGAATAATTCATTCAATTAGAATCATCTGACAAAATCATATCTAATAGACTATGCAATCTAGTAACAAAGTAGTCTACATATTAACAAAACCTTTTTTCTTTGCTTTTGGTATGTATCAGCTAAATGTGCAGTAAAAGGAAGGCTAGTTACCTGTAACTAGATGTCACCAAGTGTATTACCTCTGCACATCCCCACTCTTGACGCCTGGGGCCATACATATGGCCAACTCACAGATCTGAATATTCACTGTAAGGGAATAAGAGATTGTGGCTCTAACTGCCTTCAGTTCCTTTCCATCAATTTAGAATACCATGGAATGACATGAAGAATTGAGGATGAGAAGATGGGTTGGTGTGGATCAGAAGGCAACAGGTCAAATTCACTGCTGGTATAAACAGATGCATCTCAACAGAAGTCAATGGAGTTATGCTTGCTTACACCAAACAATGAATTAAGTGTGGAACTCCATCTACAAGTGAGTAACCTTCCTTTTACCACACATAATTGCTTCTGCAGATACCCGAGTCCTGGGAGTTTGCCTAGCATTAACAGTCACTACACTCGAGAAGAGGTGTGAGGACACCTTTCTTAAATAACTGCTTTCCTGTAAAGAATATTAGTCTTAACTGCCTAGTCAAAAGAGTAGAACTGGTGTGGCAGCTATACAGATTTCAAAAGAGGACACATTTCTCAAGAACATCATGGAAGCTGGCTTGGTTGGATGCAGCAGAAGTGGCCTGCAGGACTGGGATACCTGCTTGGTCAACACAGTTGAATAGAAAAGGAGTACTTGTGGCACCTTAGAGACTAACCAATTTATTTGAGCATGAGCTTTCGTCACGAAAGCTCATGCTCAAATAAATTGGTTAGTCTCTAAGGTGCCACAAGTACTCCTTTTCTTTTTGCGAATACAGACTAACACGGCTGTTCCTCTGAAACAGTTGAATAGAGTTTAACCAATTAAGATTATATTAAAGCAAAGATTGATTCCTCATCGGACTTGTCCCCAAATGCCAAAATAACTTTATACATTTGCTAAAAGATTTTTTTTATTATCCGGGTAATAATGCTGCAATACTACCTGACATCTAATTTATGTAGTCTTGCTTTCCCTGGTAAATTGCAATGCCTGGTGAAGAAGAATGAGGGGCTGATGGACTGGTTGAGATGGAATTCAGATGCCATTACAAGGAGAAAATTGGGTGGATCTTATCCTTTTGGAGCACTATGAAAGGTGTATCATCAATAAGTACTTGTATTTCAACCACTCCTGGCTCAATGCAATGGCTACTAGGCATACAGCCTGGGAGAAACAAATGTTAAAGGATCCACTTGCCAACAAACTCAAAGGAAGAGCCCATGAATCTAATCAGCACTTAATTCAAAATCCATGAATGTGGAGGGGGTAGAGGAGGGGTGTCTCACATGATAAGTCTGACATGAAGTGAGCTCTTAATGAATAAGGATTTGGCAACCACTATGGAGTATTAATTAGCCATCAGAGAGATTCACCTTCACACTTCACTTGAGTCTGATAAACCTTCAAAGTTTCTTTAAGATAACTAAGACTTGCATCATCTGTGATGATCAAGACCACATTATCATCTTCTGAAATGGCACCTAATTCACACATGCAACTGCTAAGAGATTCTGTAGCTCTTAAATTTGCATTTCTGAAGAGTTTCTGGACTATCTGCAGTTCTGCATTACTGCAGAAAGCTTTTTTCAAAGTTCCTAAAATTAAAAAAGTAGAGGTTAAGGTATTCTTTTTATATACACAGTTTCAAATACAATACAGTTTGAATGCATTGCAAACTTTCCACATTTACAAGATGGTAATTTAGGCCATGATCTAACATCTTGAAGTCAATGAAAAGACCTCCATTGATTTAAATGGGTTTTGGAGAGAGGCCTTATTTTATTTTTCTAATGTATCCCAAATCTACTTGTCAATGAGTGGGTTTTTTTCTCGTATAAATATTAACCTGAGTTTGAATCTATTTTCCATAAATTGCATTTATGTTAAATTTTCATCAAAATAGGACAGATTTTACACATTTGACACCAGGAGTCTAATCTAAACAGTATAAAACCTATTGCTTCCAATAGACACCTTGGTGCCCACCAATGCTAAAGTACCACAGAGCTTCAGAATGGTTTCATTTCCTGTACCACGCTTCCACTTCACTATATATCAATTGCCAAAGGCACAAGAACAGATGATTTAATGTTTAAGAAACAGATGAAAGGTCAGGAATTTATTCATGACATTAGGCTATGTAGCCCTCTAAGTGTTCCACTTGCCGCCATAGCACGCCTGGTGTAAGAATAGGCATCTCCAGCGCCCGTTAGCCATTTCTTTGGCCCTGTGATGGCCTCTCTCTGGCTATGTCTTCCATGGCTCAGCTCCCTTTTCCAGTTCTGTTCCCTTCCAGGGTAACAAAAGTCCAACTAAAGAATCCACACCAACATCCAAACAAAAGATCCTTCTACCCCTCTCAGGCTGTGATGAAGTTCCCCATGCTTGACCACTATTCCTGGAGACTGCAGAGTTCCTTCTTTGCTGCTTTGTCTGAACACTGCTTCCCAAGGCTTTTTCCCTGGACGTCATCCTTCTTAGCAGGTTTCTTCACTGCTTCTCCTGCCTGGGGATGGTGGCAGCTTCTCCTGGGGACCTTCCTGCTTCTCACAGGCGCTATGTCAGCACCTCCCACAGGAACCTAACCTGCTCCCTGTGGGTCCCTCCAGCCTGCCCTCACCAGCCTCTTCCTAGGGAGAAAGAACTCTCCTTGCTCCTCACTCCTGGGTTTTCTTCCACCCCTCTCTCTAAGCAGTCCTCCCTGATCCTTTCACAGCTGGAGTCACTATGCTAAGATACCAAATCAAGATTGCATCAAGGATAATTGCTACATCACAGGCAAGGCTGAGCCTGATTCCCCTGAAAGGGCCAGCCAGCCTGTGACAAGCCCCAAAAGCAGGTGGTTCTGAAAGTGGAGGATCCTTTATTACTTTTGGCCTGCTTTTCTGTATTCATAGAATAATGCTCATCTTGCAAGCCAGATTTAACTTTGATGGACACCCCGCACTTCCCCTAGCCCTGGGTTAAGGAAGGCACCTGGAGATCACCAAGTAGGAGCAGCTGGGGAAGTGCTCTATGTACTCTCCTTGGTTCCCCCTTCCCATCCCTGAAGAATAAGTGTATGGGAGAGGGTGCTGCTCCTTTCTCATTCCTCCACAGCCCCTTCCATGACGGGAGGAAGAAAGCTATCCCATTTGGTGGCCAGGAAATGGATTCTGACCTGCCTACTGCAACTGGTATTGGATAGGGGAGCTAGGAGGGGCCATGTGCCTAGCCCTCACTTGCTGTGGAGGATGGCCTCTCCTTACTTTTATTGCTGGGAGTAGCCATTCTGAGCTCTTTTGCTTTCTGCTGCCAAGCTGCCAGTTTGGTTCCATTCAAGCCCTACTCTGAGGCTACGTCTCCACTAGGAGGGAGAGGTGTGATTCCCTGCTTGTGTACTCAGTAGCTCTCCTTGAGCAATCCTGAGTATAAATAGCACTGTAGCAGGGGAAGTGGCAAGGAAGGCACGGCTTAGCCATGTTGAGTACAAACCTGCCTGAAACTGGTGAGTAGGTACTTGGCACAGTCTTGCCATTGCCCGTGCTACAGTGGCTACACTACACTCACTGAAAACTAGCGTGAATATGTGTATGTGAGCAGGGAATCACAGCCCTAGCTCAGAGTATAGGCATAGCCATATTCTCCCTATCTAATGGGTGAGATCTCCTTAGATACCAGGGTAGAGGCTCATTGCCAGACTTCATGTGGAGATCTGGAAGGAATTTTTCCCTTATTGCAAAACTGGCAAACTGCTGTGTGGGTTCTTCACCTCCATCCAGTATCTCTGAGGTCCATTTTGGGGATTAAATTACATTTTGCAACTTCCGTGGGTTCCAGTATGGCTGGTGAGTTAGAAAGGGTCAGATGGGAAGACCCTGTAACCCAAGGGGCTTACTGGGCGTGGGCCCAGAGTATAACATGTGCACAATGCAGGGGCATGTTTCCACATCTCGTGCGGCATCTCCTTTCTCCTATCTCCTGTTTGTAGGTGGGGAGTGGATTAGGAGTCTGACTGACAACCAGGCTCCCTGAGCAGTCCTGAGTGTGTTAAGGGGGCATGGCCTTCATAGCTCCCCTCAGGTTTGTAGAACCCGGGGCCACTGGTGCCAAGTTGAAATTTGCACTGGAACAGCCCAAACATGTAGCTGGGAGGAATGGTCCCTGTTGGTTAAGAATTTTAATAAAGTTGTAGCCTCTGCATTTAACCATACTATGGCCGTGTCTTCATCAATGAATGTTGACGCTAACATCCCTAGCTATGCCACTAGTGTATGTGGTCTAGTAGCATGACTCTAAAACGTCAGCAAGCAAGACCATTATCATCACCATAAAGGTTTGGGAGTCCAAAAGAGGGTTAAATGTCTCACAAGAACAAAGTGAAAATGAGCTGGAACGGGTCTTACCCTCTGCTTTTGGTAATATTTCAGCTCCACAGACAATACAATACAGTCCTGACCTGCAAGGTTGGCTGTGTGTTTCCTTCCACAATATAAGAAGGCAATACATAAATTAATGTATTAAACATTTAATGTCTAAATATGTAGGTCATAATTATTTAAAAATAAAAACCTATCAAGAAATATACTAATGAAAATTATTGCTTCAAATCTAAATAAATAATATTAGAAGCACAAATACATTTGAATCAATATTTAATTGCTTTTAAATTTACATTAATTGGTAAAATATGTATCATACGAAATAATAAAATGACTAGCCTAATTTACATATATTATATATGAGATATTTTATAATACTGTAGTCTCCAAAAAAAGAGGTTGAGCAGCAGACCAAATAAGACAAAACAATAGACTTGGCATCATAGTCTCCAAACACAACTTTGAGTGCCAGATTATAAAGTGTATTATTCAAAGAAATGTACAAAATTTGTTATCTAGATGTTTTTCTCTAAATTATAGTGAAATTTAAAGCATCAATGTAGTTTTCTCGTATATTGGAGTTTTATTTTATATTTTAACCTGAATAGCTCCATGTATTTGAATAGATTAATATTTCATGAAATTAGAGCACACCATAAAGTATGGTTTTGTAAAGCATTTAGGGCCCAATCCTGCACCCCTTACTTATATAGGTAGCGCCATAGACTTGATCACCTATATTCCTGTGATAAGGGCTGCAGCCTGCAGCCCTGGAATTTAAAAAAAAATAGTAATGGAGAACAGTAGAATGACAGCACAAGTTAATTTTATGGCTCAAAATTACAATCAACGCTCTCACTAGTACTTTAAAAGATTAATTTACCAGTCGTGGGTAAACCGTTCATTTTAACAAACAGCAGACTACAATTTATGAAGAAAATATAACAAACAATACATTTTTACAGGTAAGACTGCCTGTTGTACTAGACCAGACCCAAAAGTTACTCCACATCATGTTGCTCCTTTATTGGCTTCTGGAATCGGAAATGCAGTGTCTGTGTTTTATAATCTATGGCAGTAACAAAACTGCTAGTTGATAATATATTTAAAGAACATCATTTGTTCCAGAAGAACCCAGAATTACTTTACAGATTACTGATATTTAGAGTTTACATGAGTTCCGTCATCTGAGGAGCTGCCAGGCTAGGACATTTGGACTAATACCCTCTCTCTCAAGAAAATGGCCAGAGATATTTAATGACCACAAGCATTTAGTGACTTAGTTTTAAGTCTCAGACAAAAAAGGACTTCACAGTATCAAAATGTTCCCTTGCACCATGCTGGTGGGATACTAGTTTAATGCTATATCAAGGAAGAGAATTGTCTGCTTAATCAGCAATACAATGTCTTGTAACAGACAGGGTTTCCTTGGAGGTTTTCCACCCAAGTACTGACCATTCTCAACTTACAAACTCACATAAGATCACAGAGGCAATCTGGCTACATGCTACAAAATTTTTCAAAGGATCCTAAGGCAGTTAGGTGCTGAACTCCCAATAAGCTTCAAAGGAATTAGGATTTTAGGCTTTTTTGAAAACCCTGCCTTAAAAATTACACACTAATCAAAAATAGTGAAGAGTGCTTATGTGAAAGGAGACATCTGTTACAAACTATGGGCTTGATTCTGCAAAGTGCTGAATATCCTCTAGTCCCACTGATGCGAATAGGGCCCTCAGCACTCATTACTACAAATGCAGATCTCTTGGGCAATTTTCAATCCAGAAATAAGTGTCTCTATATTACTTATTGAAAATTTAAATTACAATAATTATATTAATCAACTAATAAACCATACAGAACCATGCACATTGTACATTATTTCACCTCACAGGAAAAACGGAGTATATATATTTTTCTTACACGTTATCAACAGTTGCCACTACCTCATTCAATAACTTCATTCAATCTAGTCTTTATATGGTACCTTTCTTTCACAGATGAAGCCATTTCCCCTACTAGCAGCTTTCTTGGTTCTTCGTTTGCATGCTCTTTGCACATTCAGTCCTTTAATAAATTTGGGATTCGATTATTATTTTACGCACAAAATAAATTAATATTAATTATTGTTTCAAAATAATAGGATACTTTCTATAATTTAGATTTCACTGACTTGAGAAGTCCAAACACAGTTTTAGGTTAGTTTTAACTTATGACAAAAAAAATTTACGTGACAAAAAATTTAAGTAGACAGCTAAGTAACCAATTTACTTTTGCTGTTTTGAGTCAACACAAATCTCTGATAAAATTTAAAAATAAAATGCTTTTCAACCATTGATGTTTATATACACGAGAACAAGAAGCTTGTGTGTGCGCGCGCATGCATGTAGGAGTGAATTTACACTTTTTGCATTTAAAAAAAGTCAGCAAGACTATCTAGTTCTATGATCCCATCAGTTCTTCAAAGCAAGTGTGTAACAGTCAGGATTTAGGATGGGTCTCATGAATATTTGGATGGGAAACTCCAAGGAAAACTCAGTAGCTAATGGGAATGGTGATGTTAGTTCAATAGGTGGCACTTGTCCTAAGTCAATGTTATTATATATTGTGATATTATATATTGATATAGTAACTGTAAATTAACACAATGCTTGAACATAGATAAGACCAGTTTCATGCGTCAAATAGTTTATAATCAAAACAAAACAAGACAAGACAAAAATTCAGGAGAGGAAGGGTCCGAGGCTAATGCAAAAGAGATTTAATATTCTATCCATCTTTTACCATACTTGCAAATATAAGAGCTCATCTTTTTAAAGCAATATTTAATATAGAAAGAAAAGAAGCTGTTTAATTCACAATACTTGATGCAAGAAAATGTACATTATTGAGTCTGATTTTTAAAGAAAACATCACATGTGCAATTCCAACTGAACTCGCGTGACTAATACATAAATGTCCAGAAAAATACTTTACATTGTCCCAGGATTTTTTTTCCCCAAAATGTACTTCATTAATATAAAAAGAGGAACAAAAACTAGTTTTCTCAACATATGTGTCACAATGTTTCATAGCAGCAAAATCCTTCCTTCTGCATTAATCTTCAGTGTCAAATTGTTAATTCACCATGTTAACCTGGGATACATGTGAAGCCCTGGAAATAATTATTCCAAATTTTGTGTTCTTTAAATGTTTAATAGAAGTTATTGCTTTATTTTGTAACATTAACTCTCTTTGCTCTGGTTTTCACTATGTAATAATGGCCCAAACTCTGGTCCCACTGAAGTCAGTAGGACCAAAATTTAGCCCAATGTAATCAACAAAAATGTTTGAAATAAAAAGATCATCAAAGCAGTAAATTTTGAAGAGATGTCAGTGATATTAGCTTACTTCAACTTTCTATTTACACATGAAACAAAGGAAGTATATGTAATAATGTTATTACTACCATCAACTTTCAAGCTGTCTTCTCAATACTACTCATCTGCAGATATGTTCTTTTTGTGAGGAAAGACTTGAAGGAATGGAAAATGGCTCCCCTAATTTGGGAATCTCTTGTAAATTACCTGGTGCTCAAGGAATGTGCCTATTCTGTATATTAATTTTTTTAAATCTAACATAAATGCACAGAATTGTATCTGCCTCAAGTTTTATTTTTATTGGGGGCTAAACAGCAATTGCTTGCTAGTGCTCAACACCAGATGAATTCAAATCGACAACTGATCAACCTTGTCCTCACCCTATAGTTTCAGGTACAGTACTATTGGGTCTACAATTTATGATTCCCTGGGTCTTGTTTGGCTCTTCAGCCATACATTGTGAAGAAGAATCTTAATGAAGTCTGAAGAAAACAGCAGAGCAGTATTATTTGCATATGCAAAATAAAAAAAAAATCAAATCTGATAAACAGAGATAAAATGAAAGTACAATTCCACCATTTCTCTACTAGTGAGGTTACTTAGTCCATAAAAAAGCCTACCAGAAATATAAGTGATTCATAATGAAGTTAATTTCCAAATTTCCTGTAAAACATGGTAGCTATGGACTAGTATTGCTCAATGAGAAGGAAGACACACCTTTGTTCCGTGATCTGGAAAGTTTACTTTTCTTTTTTCTGGTGTCCATTTCCTGATATATTTTCTGTTCCACTTCTCCTACTCTGGTAATACTTTCAGCATCACTAACTGTATTACCCTTAATCTTGTCATTTTGCACTATTATAGCTAACTCTGTGTTCATGTTATCATTACTTTTTATTTCTTTAGTTGAGCTTACTGCTTTTGAAGTACTGATTTCAAAAAGATCTTCAGCTACAATGCAAGCTCCATGTTCATTCTGATTCACAGTATTATTACAAGTCTGAATTAATGGTTCAATTTGCTGTACCTCTGATTCTGTATCATCATAAAGTTCAGGTGTAAAATAGATACTGTCATCCTCAGCTTCTGCTTCTATGGCTACATTTAACGTTGAAAGTTCAATTTTTCCTCTTACTGGAGATAACTCAATGCACTGATCTATGACTCCACTAGTGCAGAGTTGCTGTTCAGCAGGATGTTCTTCAGTAGCTGCAGCCTCACCCTTTTTTATTGAGGAACTAGTTGTTTCCAGTTGTAATGCCGGTCCACTCGGTGTATGTTCCGTTAGCAATGACGACTGGCACTGGCATCCATTAACAACAGGCTGACTAGATTCAATAGTACTCCTTTTTTGTTTGCACATGGCTTTGGAGATGGATTTCTTTTCATTCACAGGCAGAGGTGTTGAAGTCACTGGCTTATTGCTGAAGTATTGTTTCATAAGATCAGCGTTAGTCCAACTATTCCTTTTCTGTCTTTCTTTTTTGATGGCAGGACTTTTTGGTTTGGAATCCATCTGTTTTTCTCTCCACACTGTTTGGTGAGAATGATTTTCTACACCAAAATTCTGACCATCTGTGAAAATCACAAAAGTATACAATAGTAATTGATTTAGTTTTTGTCCTTATTTTACAATACACTTAGCACATTTTATTAAGTTTACAGAATTGTTGTTATTGTGTGAAATGAAATCCTGTATAAATGGTCAGACCATCAAATAATTATGCATTGACTTAAGTGGGACAACTCACATGCATAAAGTTAAAGTGTGTGATTGAGCTTGTAGGATAAGGGTCACAGTCAGTATTTTTCACTTTAAGTTATTGTGTTCTCTATGTTGAAATTCTCTTATCTGTCATAAATGGTTAGGACTAGAGATGAGCTTGAGCCACTAAATTCAGATTTAGATTCACACTTCTCAGAATGTTGATGTTATTTGCATGCATAGTATTGATTTAGCCAAACTATTAGAGGTAGGGAGTACATGTGAAGTATAATTCTCTAAATTTTGGAAACAATCTGGAGCCACGGTTGTAGCTCAGACTCAACTCCAAGTAAGATGCGAGTAAGTAAAATTTAAAAAATGACACAATATGTGTGAATTCAACTATTTTTTTGTACAATGCCAGTATTAGTAGATGTAAACGTACTGTAAATTATCTTCAGATTATCTTCATATTTTTCATTACAGAACCAAAATAATGTCAGAGTTAAACATTTTTGAAACTGCACTATAAACTTATCAAAGTTGCTAGTTGTAAGACAACCAGATGGGATGACAACTAATCGTGTAATCTCCTGAACAAAGCTCATATACATTTGTGAGAGGTGGCCATTTTACAGCACAACACTTCATAATTTTTTTTTAAACGTCTGTCTCTTTCAAAAAAAGATGCACGATTTTACAGGCTACGCAAAAATATCAGTTAGGAGAACGGTTAATGAAGTTTTAACATGGGAAATAAGCATACTTTTCTTTGTTGCCATGCTGTTACTTGATTGACTGGATGCTGTAGAATTAACTGTGTTGATTGCTGTGGGTGAATGAGCTTCCAGGACCAAATTCTGCACCTTACTTTCAACAGGAACATCTGGTGATAGATGAATAGATGCCTCATATGACGAAGTTGGTGACAGATCTTTTGAACTTGAATGTATGAGCAGAGATTCACTATTACACTGGGTGGAAGAACTGGCGCCCACTTGATTTTTTTTAGCAAATGCATCCAACGAATCGAGTGCAGTACTAAAGTTCTCATGGTGCTGGATTTGTTGACGAATCCATTTGGATAATCCTAATGAAAAAAAATTGGTACACTACAACCAAACTTACTTTATCTAGATTATACACAGTAGCTATTTCAAGTTACTAAATTGGGCCCTGGTCCTGCAAATATTTACACCTTTAGCTTCGCTCATGGAAATAGACAGCTTTAGCTTTGCTCATGGAAATAGTTCAGTGGAACTACTCCTGTGAGTAAAGTTAAGCATGAGATTGTTTACAGGATTGAAGGCATGATTTGTTTATAGCTTTCTATGAATATTTTTCAAAAACTAGAGTACAGATGGTGTTATCATTTGGTTTAAAAAATTCTTTACCCCATCTTCTCATTTTTCACCTAAATTAAATTTAAACTGGTATCTACTGTTAAGGACAGCAGCAATGCTGCAGCCTTCCAAAATGTTACTACTGTTGTCCTTTGATATCTGTGTAATGTTTCTCTTGCTTTCCTTCCTGTGCTATTAATTTAAAGATCATGAATGATTACAAGAGGAATTTATGTATAGACTGTATGTTTATTACAGCTGTTTCACTGACTGCATGACAAAATCTAGCAGTATTTAAATAGTTTGCATGTTTTGCAGATTAGAAAACAATGTGTGTCAGATTTTTTCTGAAAGAATCACAATCACTTAATACTTCCAAAAACATCATACGCACATGAACCAATGTTAATTTTTATAATTATTGTATATCAGAAATCTTAAACAAACAAATGTTTTGATGAATCTGGAAAACTGAAGATTGAGAAAATTAATTTTCATAAACATTAAAAATACATCTTTTAATCCCTTAAAAATACTCTATATTAGAAAAGGTATATTAGCTTTTATTCTTTCAAAAAAATACTCTTACCATATTCACAAACTCTTTTAGTGTGAGTGTGTAAATTACAATACTCTGCTTTCTCCCTTTTGTTTCCTCTCTTCAGTTATCTAAGCATTTGCCTAATACAAAACAACATGTCAGAAAACTGCTTATGTGGCAGAATCTGAGCTCCACGAATCTGAATCCTGCTGACTGGACATGAGCATTATCTCCTTTACATTATCCTTTTACTGTGGTTGTTTATAAATGGAGAAGGGGCAACAAAGCTATGCAATCTATTCCTAAGAAATTTCTCCTTGACTAGTGTCATGTAAGCCTTATTTTTGTTTTAGCTGCCTTAATTTTACTAACCATGAAGAAACTGTACTGATCATGACAGCACAAACAAATGTTCAATGATGCTATGAAAGGAATGGTGGTGCCTCTACCTGTTCATGTCTACAAACCACCTGGTTAAACCTCTAACTGCTAACATTAGCCCCTGCAGTTCACTATGGGTGCAAAACTACTCATACAAATGAATGAAAGTGAATGAAAGTCAGTACCTTTATTTTTATATTTACCATACAATGGCTAATAGTTCTTATATATGTTATAAATTTTATTTTAAAAATGTCAGTTAAATTCTGTAAATTGAAGTTTCTTCAACAGATCTTACTACTAGCATGTTCTGAATGGGAATTAAATTAAAATAACAGAATGGCTACTTTGTGTGTTTCAGTGCATTTTAAGCCTGTTGACACCCAGAAGCAGGGTTTTAGAGTTGCTCAGAATTCTAGCTGCACAACAACAGAACCAACGAGTTTAATGGATATATTTTGTTATAGCCTCCCCCACATAACAGAGTTCTTTGGGAAATCACCTCTTGAAGCCTAGATTTCCCAACACAATATCCTAATACTAGGATCTTTCCCAGGAGAATCTGAGTATCTTACCAGTTATGTATTTATTAGGGTTACTCCTGAAGCGGTCATCAACTAACATAAGAGCACCCCAATCCTTTTTGTGACGAATACACCTACAGGAGAACAATGAAAGAGAATTATAATTAAATAAAATTGCATCTAAAACTGAAAACTATTTCTCTTTTGCATACTGTTGGAAGCACAAAAGATGCAAAGATGTGTCAGATGTGCTTTCTTGAGCTCCAGCAAAACAGATATCTGTGAGAGAAGGAATGTAAAAACTATATCAGAAGACAGTTAAGCACTGAAACTGCTTTTTCACGCAATTCACAGAATTACAAGAGTGACCATTTGATGACACAAACTAGGAGGTCACACGTTATTTCATAAACTGAGCGCTGGATGTCTAATAATTACAACAGACATGTTATTTGTTTGGCAATCTACTGTTGTGAGAAAGATAGGATAAATACTGAAAGGAGAGTAGAGAAGAGTGTAGGAGCAAGATCTGGGAATGCACTGAGTGTGGTTGTACAAAGATTTATAAAACGATGCAACTGTTTTAGTATTTTCTGGCTAGGCTTTAATACAAAGCCTATACAAAGAAAAAATCAAGATTCAAGGTAATGATGGTGTTGACTTTGTAATTAAAAGTTTGTTAAAGAGTGGCTTTCTGTAACAATCCTGAAGGGCCACTTTATATGAATCAATTATTTTTATAATACATTGACCTTCTACAGTGTCTTTCAGACAAGGGTTTTCATAGAACTATACAAAAATAAATGAACTGGAGCACACAATCCCATGAGAGATAGCTAAGCATTATTATCCTCATTTTACAAATTAAGGAAAACTAAGGCAAAAAGAAGTCTGATTGGATACACAACATCACTGTGTCTAGAGATGAGATTAGAATCCAGATCTTCTAATTCCCAGCAACATAACTAGCTCAGCAAAGAAATTTTTCTTGAACATCTTTAAAGCCTCCCATGAAAGAAAAAACTAACAAAACAATTCAAGGCAAAAGATTCTTTCCGAGCTTTTCATTTTTTACTGCTTTAATAAGTGCTGTTTTAACTTGCCATTTAAATGAATTATACCCACTGGAAACATATCCCACACTTTTAGTAAAGCAGCACTGCAAGAAGTTCATCGCACAGTTGTCACCTGGTCATGCACACCATCTGGTATATTCCCAAAGGTTGTTATTACATTTCATGGACTTACGTTACTTCATACGGTAACAGCACTAAATTAACAGAAAAGTGCCAGATTCAAAACTAACATCCTTCTGCTCACTTCAATCCCTACAGGACGCTTTTACAGAAAGAAGCTTGCCTATCTGCAGCAACCACTTTCTAGGACTGTCAGCATATACTATATTTTGATTTATATTCTCTTTTTATAAATGCACGGAAATATACTGGCTTTTCTTTTCCAAGGCTCAATATAATAAAATCTGGGTCAAATTAGAATATAAACCAGAATTATTCTCCCTTGCATGCAACTGAGCCTTTTCCAAATACACCAGTAGGGGAGTCTGTCTTTTCCTTTCAGCTCAGGTTAAAAGTGCATCCACTTAAATGACAGGTTTCAGAGAAGCAGCAGTGCTAGTCTGTATCCGCAAAAAAGAAAGGAGTACTTGTGGCACCTTAGAGACTAACCAAATTAGTTGAGCATTAGCTTTCGTGAGCTACAGCTCACTTCATCGGCTTATGCTCAAATAAATTTGTTAGTCTCTAAGGTGCCACAAGTACTCCTTTTTTTTCCCATTTAAATGGTCAGTCATACAATGAAGACCTAGATTATCATTAGCAACATATTTTAAATGAAAAATTTCTAGACAGACAACATGTCCTGTATACTACACAACCAAACTCTCTTCCTCAAACTCACTTCCTTCAGGAAGTCTTCCATTTCTGATCACCATTCTTGCACCCTCCTGTAACTAACATTTTTTATTTTTAAATTACTCACTCCCCAAAAGGAAATTAACAAGATACATACTCATTGTTAGATATATATCATGATCTTTTACTATTCTCCATCATATTCCCCCAATCCCTTTCCCACCCATTATATATATCCCTCACGTGCTATATTAAGTCAAATTTAGGGTACTTCTGCACTGCACACTTCTCTCAGTGGCATAGAGAGTACATACATGCAGAGCCCCACAGCATGAGTATAAACATCAGCATAGCCCGTGAGGCATAGCCCAGGCAAGAAGAGTAAAGACATGTCTGAAGGGTGGGGGTATGTATGGGAGTACAATACTATACAGGCTCTCTATTCACCCAAGCTGTGGCTCCGCATCTACACTGCTAATTTTGGCAGTGTCGTGTCCTGCTGCTGGAGCCGTTCCCCTCTGTAGGAAAGACTCCCCCCAGTGGGGAAAGGCTCTGCCAGCTTCCACTGTTGGAGCCTTTCCCTGCTGCCTCCCCACTCCCCCTTCTCCGACCACCAGAGCCTTTCCCAGCTGCTGGAGTCTTTCACTGCAGTCCCAGAAAGGTTCTGGCAGCAGGACACTCTACTGCTAAAAACAGCAGTGCGGATGTGGTGCTTGGGCACGTAGAAGGCCAATATACACTAGCAGGTCTCCACTCGCTGAAGCAGTGCCTCACTGTCTACACTGCTATTTCTACCCATTCTAGCTGGGGGTTTAGTGTCTGTATTCTACATGCCACTGCAAGTGCAGACCTCCCCTCAAATTTGACCTCATTTACTTGCAACAAACACTACCCTTTCAGAAAGTCTCAGTGACAGCAATCTCTTTAAAACAGTACTGAAGACAACAGCTTGGTTACGTTTTCACTCCCCAACCCTTGTTCAGCACAAACATCAGCTTGCCAAATATCTTGCCACCTGATTTGCAAGATGTCAGTCCAGTTTTACCCGTGTTAGTTGTTACAAGACATTTGGTCCATAGATTACTGAGGGCAGAAATATTTACAAGGCAGGAATTATGGGTCACAGAGTTATTTACTTTGAAATGAAAGATACCCACTGACTTAAGCATCAGTCGGAAATCTTTGCATTTGATATTTCCATGGCCCTAATTGCTCTATAAAATATGAAAGAGTTCCTGGGTTTAAAAGGGCAACACAGTTTCCTAATTAGTATTTGCTTGAAGTGTTTATGGCAACCCCTTACAGTTAGATTTTACTGATGCCTATCTGAAGAAAGCAGAAATCTGAATACCTGTATTTTAAACAATTCCAAGGATAACATGAAGATGGCATGCAAAAATACCTCCAGTCCTAAGAATGAGGGATTGATCATACTCGAGAAAGGAGTTTAAAAATGAAAATATTTAAATAATATTCAGTTCCTCTCACCTGCCCAGTGCCTGGTTGAGAGCTCTATAAGCTTGAATTTCATACCATTGGCTACCTGGTAAAAGGCCTCTTGTCTTTGAGTGCTGGTCATTGTATTTCCTCTTTAACTCAACCTAAAAATAAAGTCAAAATATTATTTTAAAATATTTCTTTTTGCAAAATTATATAATAAAATGAAAAACAGAACAAATTGGTTAATCAATCAATTGGGTATGAGAGAGTGAGGGAGGAGGCTGTTAGGTAGAACACCATGTTAAAAAAAATCTCTTCTTTTCCAGAGGAAACTTCATCCAAGCCCTGCTTAAACCACAAGTGAAAATGAGTTTGGTGGTCCCGTCTCAGACCCCATTTGTTCACATCACACCACTACTAAGCAATTAAGGATAATGAACATTCTTTGCTTAAGATTAGACTAGCGCTGTCTCAGACTAAAGGCAGAGCTGTGTGCCTGGTAATAGCTAACATTAGTGTCATTTGCATAAGAACCACCATTCACTAAATATAATCAAAATAATATTGTAATGCTAAGCTTCTAGCTCTCATTTTGCAAAAATATCATAAAATCCATAATTGAAAGTTTTATCACAATTTTTTGGAATGTGCAAAGTGGAGATAATTTTGGACATGTGTTTTACTATATAGACTCATCAGTGTTTATATATTTCAGTTGTGCAGTAAGTGTTGATGCTGTAATTTCTAAAAAATACAGTTTGAGTTTAGGACCCTATTTTCCAGTCTTTGAGAAATTACAGATTAGTTTATCAACAGTTCTAATAAAAGGCAGTAAGAATTTGTATATAGTCTACATAAAGTTTACAATACTGAACATTGTTTCAGTTGAACTTTGCAAAGGATTTGTGTAATCACTCTGAGCTTTTATGTCCACAAATAGAAATTGTATCTACTTAACTATGAATGATCTAAAACACTACAATATCCAAAACTTACTTGACTGATTGTTCTCTAATAAAATTCTAAATAATGTTTCTGTTTTTCAGATATAATTCATGTTCTTCACTCTGCTCATTTTATTCATACGTAATATGTGGTTCACTCAGTAATAGCTTATCACTCACAGTACAGTGATCATATGTTTATCCAGACCTCCGTGGCCTGTTGGCAAAGGATGCATAATCACTAAATTTGGTCATTTCCATCATTTTCAAGTAGTAGTCTAAGACTGAAAGGCACAATGACTCCTACCATGCTGTACAACACCATCTGCATTTCATTCCTTACAGCAGGCAGCAGAGTACTCCAGCTGCTAAAACCACATACCATCCAAACTTACCAGGCTACTGGAACACACCTACTTGTATCAAACACAGCTAGTTTCTGTCAAGGAGTATAGAACTGACAGACATGTGCAATGGTTTAATATTGGGAGTAATTCCCTCAACACCTGGCAGAACTGCAGAAAAGAAACGGCATGTAGTGTAGTTGTAACGGTGTCAGTCTCAGGGTATTAAAGGGACAAGGTGGGTGAGGCAATATCTTTTACTGGACCAACTTCTGTTGGAGAGAGAGACAAGCTTTTGAGAGAACTGACTTGAAGAAGAACTCTACCTAAGCTCGAATGCTTGTCTCTCTCACCAACAGAAGTTGGTCCAATAAAAGATACTACCTCACCCCCTTGTCTCTCTAATATTCTGGGACCAATAAGTCTAAAACACCACAGCATAAATGGAAAGCAAATGTAATATTTGGGGTGTGGGCAAAGGAGGGAACACTTCTGAAGCACTAAGATGTTTTTTTAAAAAAGAAAAGGAGAAAGTAAATGAAATAAATAATAAATTTCTGCTCTATAACCTGAATTCAAAGGCATTTTTTTACATAAACCCTGGACTGCTGGAGCAGCTGTGTAGTATGTTGCCAGCTAGAGAAGAGGGCTAGGGTCTCCAGGGCCAGGGTCAGTAAGGACTGGTATGCCTCCTGGAGGAAGAAGCCAGCTTCTCCAGGTAAATGGAACCTATCCTCGCTAGTCAAGGAGCAGTGCTGATATCAGTTGCAAGAGAAACCCCTTGCCGTCCCATTTCAAACAAGGGGATAGTGCTTGTTAAAGGTCCATTCTGAGAATGTGAAGAATGATCTCTTATTTGGAAAATATATCCAGCTCCAATATATATTTTCAAAATGTATTGGTTTAAAAAAAGACAAAACTACACAAGAAAGGTTCTTTTCACTGCTCTTTTGCACAGTATTAACCTTTTTAAACTGACATCTGAAAGGACACGCTTCAGGAGAGAAAACAGCAGACTTCTAACCACATCTGACAGGTAACTTTCAACTTGAATTTGGGTAAGAAATTTTATTTTGTGTACTTATGCCCTTTGAAACAGCCTGTCAAATTTACAAATTCAATCTTTACAGCCAGAAAGTAAATTCAGTTTGATTTCACAGATTTAATATTTGTTCCAGTCACTCAGAATTTATTGACTGGTGCATAAGGTTTCCTTTTGTTATTTTTGAAGCACACAGAAATCTTTTCCCCCTAAATAGTTTGTAAACATTAATATAATTCTTCACAAAAAACTTTAAACTGTAATTACACATATCTCTGTATTACCATACATGTAACTGCAGTTAGAATAACCAAAGACAGTACTTTTAAAGGATTTGAGGTGAAGAATAAAATTTAGGAAAATCTAAGAAGGGGGTAAAGCTAACAATATTTTAAAATATGAAGTAGTCACAAAGTTCTTCTGAAAGTATTTCATAGTTCTCTGCATCTCATGATAAATTTCTCAATAGGATTTCTTCACAAAGCCTTTTGTCAACATTAACACATTTAACATTTCTATAGTTTCTTGCTACTTTGAAAGTCTTAGTAAAGCAATATTAGAATAACTTTTCATTCTGTTTTACACCAATTACGATTATTGCAGGCAGTGTCACAACTATACACAGAGGTATATTCATATAAATAGAGTTAGCAAAAACATTGTCACATCAGATAACAAATACTGAGGTCTATATATTAATGGAAGAGATATTAACCTCTCCATTATATGAATAATGGATGACCAAAAAAAAGGACTCTGTTTCTCTCACTCTAAAGATCAGGTTTCAGCATGAAGTGACTATTTAGATCGCTGAGGGTTAAGGATTCATAATAAGTCTAGTAAAGGTAAAAGGCCAGTGCATGTCATTTTAATCCAATCAGAATCTATTTCATTGTATAACTCTGCATTATCAGGCATCAAATCAACACCCAATTCAAAATGACATGATGCATATGTGAAAAAGCCAGTCTCTCCTGCTAGCAAATATCCTAAATGTTCAGTAAACCACAGGCTAGAAGGGATTAGTTAAAATGTCAAAAGACAGCCTTTTACTTTTACCTGTTCATCCTTAAAAATATACTCTTAGCTATCAGGCATGCTTTACAGACAAATAGTTTCAGCAAGCAGCAGCAGAAGGCCTATGGCAAGCTCTGCCATCTTGCAGCTGTCACAAAGATTAGTCTTTGATCTATCTGGGAGGTCATGGTCACAGTCACATTAGCTGAAGTCTAACAACATTATACCTGTTAACTACTCTTTCTTTTAATGCTTAATTAGACAGACTTTCTCCCCATTATGGAAAGTTTAACTGGGAAATACCCTGAGTTTCAACAAAAACTAAATTACATAAACAAACTTTGCTTACTGTGATTTGGAGAGATTTTGAGGCAGTTTATATTATAATTCAAATGTATTTTACAAGGCTTTCCTAAAGCAGAAGGCTAATCATATAGAAAGTTAAAAAGCATTTTATTAGACAAGCTCTTTTGGGGATGGTGTTGAAGGGTGATGGGGAATGGTTTAGGTGAAATGACAATGCTTCTCCAGTGAAGACCTGGATTCATCTTTGATTCAGGTGATACAAGAAATAATAGCCTGGATAGCCCATGGTGAAAAAAGCATTAAACTACTACATTATTGGCCATGTGCTGAGGTGATGCTTAGGAGAGTAGCTAGGGGGTGGCAGGTCAGAGTGGAGGTTTATTTACAGAGTTACATGCAGAAACCTGTATAGTGCCTTAACTTGCACTGTGTCAGAGAGCAGCACATTTATTTAACTTAACAAACCCCAAAACATTTTAATATATAACATTAGGGCATGCAAATAGCAGCTTATTATGAATTAATAGATTCTGGAGAAAAACAACAGTGAGATGATCTAGCCACAGCAACATTTTATCCTTTAAATTATGTACTTTCAGTTTAATGTTCAGTAAATAAAAAAAGGTTCCCTTTACGGCAGTTTCATATAAAACTGGGGTGAATATAAGTGCATATGACACTAGAAGTTTAAGATACCGTCACATAAACAATATATATGAGAAATATTACGCTGTCTTATTCACTCATGATAAGCTTTTTAGGACAGAGTTCAACCCATAAATAAGAAGAAGAACTAATCTGTTAAAACTACTGATTAAAACTATTAAGAAAACTTTTCTTCAGTAAAAATAAACACATTGTCCACCAGACACTCATGCAAAATGGTTTTATCTTCAGCCAAGGATAGGGCCTTAGACCTAAACAGTTTATAGCAAAACCAAACTGGAAGAGAGAGAATGTGCATTAGGAGTGTTTACTGTTCAATATCAGCATACCATAAACACATGTATCAGTATAAATATCACAATATAAATTTCAATGGCTAAACTAAAGTACAAGGTCTTGTATGTTGAGTAACTTCAATAGACAAAATCAGTATGATTGTATTTTATTTTATCTGGCATATTTTCAAGATTTGTAGAGGCAGTATTTTATTTAACCAACTGCAGTGCTATATTTTGCTAAAATGGAAAAAAACCAAAACTGGGTCTCTGCCAAAAGTTAAAAAGTCAGGCTCACTCTTAGCTATAACAGCACTTCAGAAACTATTTTTTCCAACTGTTCTCTATCTTCCCTTTTAAATTACAAACTGATACACAACAGAAGGAACACTGAAGACAAGACAACAGTTCAGCATTGTAATGACACAAATGTAAACACGGAAGGCAGCACTGCTGAAAACCTTGACCAGAAACCTACCGCCTTCTTTATACTACCACTTGGTGGTGCTGTGAGAATCACGGCTAAAGAGGCTAGAGATAGGATGATTCCAGTTTGGATAAGGCTAA